TGGGACACACAAAAACAGATATATATACACACGCTTCAAACATGTCACACAAAAAAAAAAGGACATCTTTACTCAGAACAAAAGAAAAACACTCACAGCAAGACCAGCGAGTTCAGTCCTGAAAAGGTCTTGGATGAAATGTGATGGATGTTATTGTTCTCCAAGATCCTACAACATACAATTTGTCTGTCTGTTTGTATTGTTGAGAATGTCAAGAAATCGTTATCTTTAGTGGAAGGGAATAAGTAGTGTTCAACATTTAATAGACATACAACCACTCCAGCTTATGCAGGTCCCTGAACACACCGGGCTTCAGCACAGAAATCCGGTTGTAGTTAAGATATCTATGAAGAAAAAAAAAAACATCAAGAAATAATAATGGAAAATGGCAGTGCCACAGTGTTCAACAAAACATAAGGATAAATTTCCCTTGTTTTGTTTTGTTTTGTTTTTTGGTCATCATTTATTTTGCGAGAGAAAATCCCTGCTTGCTGGAGGACAAGACAAATATGTGCAAATTGCTTTTCTTTCACTCAAAAGTAGTGTTGTGACACACAACTAATTGAAAATTAATTGAAAATCAAAACAGGCCCTTACACCCGCTTTTTCTGCAGGTTCTTTCAAATTTATAGGGGACGAGAATGACTAATTTTTTGTTTTGTGGATGTACCGGTACATATATTCTCACAAGTGTACAGGCGCTTGGCAAGAATTCGGGCATATTGAGGCCCTTCAAAAATGTTTGTTCTTGAAAAAATGCAATGGGTAAATTCCTGGCTGAAGTGCAAAATGGCTGCTTCAAACCAAAATAACCAACCCTCTTGTTCAAAATCAGACATGGGTCCTTGAGACTCTTTTGTTCGTCCTGTTACCATAGATACGTCCAAGTAATTTCCTCTCATCAGTGAGTCATTTTTTAAAAAAAAATTCATGTTTCCCCAATTTTCAAGATTGTGTCTGGGGTTGATTTTTGCAAACTTTCCAGGCAGTTTCAAAATGATGTTTAAGGGGTCATGTTCAGGATCCTCAAAATAAATACATTTACACACAAATACACATGCTTGCAAAAGTTATGGGATGTTTCAGGCTTATAAGGAATGGATGAATTCCCAAGTTGGAGTTCATGGAGAGACATGTGCACCCTGTGTCAATAGGCAAAACTCATGTCAGGGGCTGAGTTTATTTTTTTTCCTCGAGCAGGAGTTCATCAAAGTATGAGCTCTGAAATTCACGCGAAATGACTACTTCAGACCAAAATTGCATCTTTTCTGTTCAGTTTCAGAAATGGGTCCTCGAGACTCTTTATGTGTCTCTTTTTATGATTGGTATGCGTACCCAATTTTGTTTCCATCAGTGAAAGTCGCGTTCAGGGCTGATTTTTAGCTCCACTTTTCAGTATTTCTTTACAAGGTGCCAGAAATTGTGTTTTCATGTGACACTTGGGGACTTACAGCCTGGTGAGATTGTATAGCCCTCTGAAAGCAGTCGGACTCACATCTTCGATCTCGTTATGTTGCAGGTATCTATACAAACACACATACACACAAAATGACATGATATGGTGCAGAAGCACATCAGCGAGTCTGCTCACGTGTTTATTTTATATGCACGGTGCATCTGCAAATTAATCACAGCCCTTCATCTTTACCATATTATGTTGTTAAAGCCTCATTCCAAAATTTAATACATTTTTGAATTGAAGTTTTTTTAAAAGGCACTTGAAGGACAATCCAATGATGAGGAAGAAAACACTCTGGTCTGACGAGAAAAAGATTGAACTCGACAGTGTGAAGGCCAGGCGTTATATTTGTCGGAAACTAGGTGCTGATCAATAATCATCCCCACAATGAAGACTTCTGGCGGCCTCATCATGAAGTGGCGATGACTTTAGGAACTGGGAAAATCGTCAGGGTTAAGGGAATGCGGCAACGTACAGAACCATTCTGGATAAAAGCCTGCCCCAGAGTGCTCAGGACTTCAGATTAGGTGGTTTATCTCCCAACAGAACAATGACCCTTAGCATACAATGGAGACAAAATCCTTTACTGTCCTTGAGAGGCCCAGCCAGAGGTGAGACTTGAATGTGTCATGATGCTGTCCTGTGATCCTTGTTTCTTCAGTCTCCAGCTGGAGAGTGGGCGTTCCCTCATGAGCCGCACCTGACACTAATCATCCTCGTTACCTGGCTGCCTTTAAAAGCCAGGCCATGCCAACAACTGGCAGTCGAATTATTAAATCTTGCTGATGGTGCTTCAACTTTTTTCCATGTTTAATTATGAATGTTGAGTGTAAAATTGTGAAGGGGGGGATGACTTTTTTCCATTTTGGGATGAGGATGTGTCACGTGGAAAACTCACAGTTTCTGCAGGCTGTGGTACGGGAAGAAGGTGTTTGCTTTCAGTCTCTGCAGATGGTTCCTCTGCAAAGACCTGACAGGGCGAGACGTTCACACGTCATTGCATGCACACGCTGTGACAGTCATATCGCAAGTAGTGCATATTGTCACAAATGTCATGAATAGTGAGTGTGTTTGAAGGTGATTTTATCAAAAGCTAAGCAGAATATTTGACGTGTGTTGGGTAACAACTCAATCTTTTTCAAGACATACCAAGTTAAATTTTAGATGACAAGACTTATATTTCATATTGATCATACAGTATGTACTCTTTTCCTGGTCATGTCCATTTTTGGCCAGGAGTTCACGATTTTCAAATGTATTCTTTCATTGCGCTTTGGCCCTAGATAGTCTATAAATTCAACTCAACTCTCAACTCACCTCAACTGTATTTATAGAGCACTTTCAAACAACCATCGCTGTATACAAAGTGCTGTACATGGAGCAAATACAACAATAAAACAATAAATTCATAACGAAGACAGTAGAAAGCACAAAACAGTAAAACTAAGATCAAGTCTGACTCATGCCGAGTCAAATGCCAAAGAATACAAATGAGTTTTGAGACGAGTTTTAATGAGGGGCAACGGAAAAGGCTCGATCCCCTCTGAGCCTCCGCTGAGTTCTTGGTACTTCTAATAATGTCTGGTCTGCAGACCTGAGGCGCCGGGCAGGTGTGTAGAGGCGGATGAGCTCAGAGAGGTAAGGTGGAGTGAGGCCATTTGAAGATTTGAAAACAAATAATAGGATCTTAAAAAGAACTAAAAAATGTATAGGGAGCCAGTGAAGGGATGCCAGAGTAGGAGTCATGTGCTCCCTCTTACGAGTACCAGTCAAGAGGTGAGCAGCAGCATTCTGGACCAACTGGAGACGCTAAATGGAGGATTGGCTGACTCCAAAGAAAAGTGCATTACAGTAATCCAGCCGGGATGTGACAAAGGCATGAATGACTGTTTCAAAGTGCTCATGAGAAAGGAGAGGTTTTACATGTCATCGAACTAGCAACAGTGAGTGGTCGAAAACATCAGTCACTTTTGATGGAGAGTTGGAAACGATTGTCAGTCTGTGCATGCATCAGTGATTGGTTGTTTACGTCAGTTTCTGCTAATGTAGACACTTTCCCAACCAGGCAAGTGTCATCTAAGCAATTAATAGCAACCGCCCCTTACATCATGGTGACATTCACAGCCAACACCGGCACGTCACGGAGCTGCGCACCATCGCAGTCCAGCTCCAGGTCTCGACACTGGCACAGGTCAGGAATGAGGCCAAGCACTGGGGGGAGTGGGGAAATGAAAAAAATGAATGAGATAAAAGTGGTACTTTGGGGAGAAGCCAAGTTTAGCCTGGGATCACATCTATCTATCTATCTATCTATCTATTGAAGTCTGTATTCTGCTCATATTTCGTCATGCTGTATAACTTTCCCATGCCCGCAGTGTAGCTTGGCGTCCTTGTAACAATCATCACCTAGAATTGGAATACTCCCTACTGAAGACGCACAAACTTTGGAATGCGCCAAGCTGAGAATCGGTTAAGGAGAAACGAAAGTTAGGATATCACAATTTGTGTCTCGGTACCACCCTTGTGATGGTATAAAAATGATGTGAATCTCTTCCTGCTTCGCACTCGTGACGCGCAGTCATTGTCTGTAATTCGTGGGTGCCCGGAATATTCTGTTATTAAAAGCTTCGAAGGAACAGTTCGTCGACTCCAGCCTTTATTTGGATTACCAACATTCTCCTTGTCCGAAATTCAACGAACACGTGGGGGAGAGGAGGCCGCTCTTCCCCCAACACTATCTATCTATCTATCTATCTATCTATCTATCTATCTATCTATCTATCTATCTATCTATCTATCTATATCTATCTATCTATCTATCTATCTATCTATCTATCTATCTATTTTCTGATCTGCTTATCCCCACAGGGGTTGCGGGGCACGCTGGAGCCTATCCCAGCTGCCTTTGGACAGTAGGCGGGGGACACCCTGAGCTGGTTGCCAGCCAATCACAGGGCACACATAGACAAACATCCATTCACCTGCCATGCATGTTTTTGGAATGTGGGAGGAAACAAGAGTACCCGGAGAATACCCACGCAGGCACGGGGAGAACATGCAAACTTCACACAGGAAGTGTCGGGGTTTTTTTCGGTATTTGCAGGTCCCTTTCCCCCCCACGAATAGGTCCACTGTATTTAAGACTTGGCTCACGGATGCACAAGCCTTTGAGTCGTTTGTTTGGGGTTTTCAAATTTTTTGGGTCCAGGGACCGCTGACTGCAGAGAAATTTTTCCAAGGCCACCAACATGATCCTAATGCTGATTTGATTTAACATTAACCACCACTAAAGTCATGTAAATTAAAAAGTATCCCATTTTTGAGAAAAAAAGAACCCTTGAAGTTTGCTAACATATTTAGTTTTTGCCTACTATTTTGTTGACCCCCAAGATACAGCTCATGATCCGCAGTAGGTCTGGGTCGCCCAGTTTGAGAACCACTGTGTCAAAAAACAGAATACCATGAAATTAAGGTTTGTAGTACAGTGAAACTCCTCTAGAACGAAACCTGCATGGGCGAAAATACCCCCTTATGTGAAAAAAATCTTCATGCATTAACACAATTCCCATTCTCCTGCCCCCCATACGACGAAAAACCCCCTGTTGCGTTATACGAAATCATTTTGTCTGCTCCAGCCTCGCGAAGACATTCACTACAACGAAGTCTTATCCAACAGTGACCTCTACTGCTTCGTTCGAAAAAAGGCAACAGCAACCACCACACTGGTTTACATAGTGAACGATGTTTATTTCGGTCACAGCTGCGAGTTTCCTGGGCTCAACATACTCATAGCTGCTCTGCTATTGGCTTACCGAACATCATCCTGGCCTCCGATTGGCCAAGAGGCCACATAGACCTCACTGTCTATGTGTGTAGATACTGAAGCTAGATCCGTAGCATCCGATTAGCTGCTCAGAGTAAATTGCTTATGGCTCGACGGACATTTACTTTACTTTTTATCATGCTAAAAACACCCACGGGACACTTCGTAGTCCTCGATGGCCATAGTTAGCTCTCGAAGGCTAAAAACCTTACGCTAACTGGAGCGCTTCTCTCTCATTAGCGCTCCAGTGGCTCGACGGACATTCAAATAAACGAACGTTTCCTCGAATGCTTTACTTGTTATCATGCTAAAAACAGCCACGGGACGCTTCGTAGTCCTCGATGGCCATAGTTAGCTCTCGAAGACTAAAAACCTTACGCTAACTGGAGCGTTTCTCTCTCATTAGCGCTCCAGTTAGCGTAAGGTTTTTAGTCTTCGAGAGCTAACTATGGCCATCGAGGACTACGAAGCGCCCCGTGGCTGGCTTAAAAGTTCATTGCATGCCAGGAAGTATTTGTTATTGTTAGATTCAGATGAGGATGGACGTTGCATTGCTAAAATGGCTACAAAACGGACCTTTTGATGTCAAGCAGCTAAGACAAGAAGAGCTCTGATGCTGGAAGAGAGGGTAAAAGTGATCAAAATGAAAGACGGAGCAAGCAAAATAAAAGACATTTTCCAAGAAATTGATGTAAGTGAAAGTGAATGCTGATCGTAAATTTCGCAATTTCTTTCCCTTTTTTTCTTTCTACACTGACAATATGAAGTGTCAAATAAGTGTGTGCTCATACTTATGTACTATTGGAATAAAAATAGAGTACACAAACGTTTGTGTGTGCGTGTACACATACGTTTGTGTGTGTGGGTGTGTGTGTGCTTACATCTGAGATCAAATTTGCTACAGTGAAAAACCCCCTGTTGTGAAAAATTTCTTGCTGCAAACATGATTTCGTTGTAGAGGAGTTTCACTGTAATAAAAGATCTTTCTTCAGTCCATTCAGGGAAATAATATATCTGTTCTATTTTCTGTGTTGTTGACATTAATGACAGGCGAGTTTGCACCAACCTTCCTCTTACTAATACCACATCAACATCAAAGATATGTCACAGCATGTCAATTATCACCCTTAGCACAACACTCGGCAGGATTGTTGTCATCGCCTCATTTCGCTACTTCCAATGGCAAAGCGGATAATTGCAGTGAACCAAGTAAGAAGAAAAAAAAAACCCACGGCACATGTTGGACTTGGTTCTGCCATTGTGGCTCGGCATTCCAAAGTACTTGTCAAAGAGGTGTGGCCATCCATTGTTATCTCCTGAGGAAAGACAAGAGAAACATTTTCATCAATTTATAAATGGCTGACACTGTATGTGTGCACGCACACACACACACACACACACACACACACACATATTTGAGAGAGAGAGAGAGAGAGAGAGAGAGAGAGAGAGAGAGAGAGAGAGAGAGAGAGAGAGAGGGGCGGGGGGGGGCGCGGCCGGGTGGTTAGCGCGTCGACCTCACAGTGCAGAGGTATCGGGTTCAATTCCAGCTCCTGCCTCCCTGTGTGGAGTTTGTATGTTCTTCCTGGAACACACTGCTCGTTTTGTAAAGGTACATAGGTCTGCAGGTAGATTGCTAGGTAGGTAATTATGTCTAAGGTAATAATATGTAGGTAAGAGGTAGGTTGATAGGTAGGAAGGTAAATGCAAAAAAGGTTGGTAAATTAAGGTTAGTGTGTAATAGGTTATAAGAGTTCGGTTCATCTGTAAATATGTACTGGTGGAACTGACTGGTAGGAAGGTAAATCGGTAGGAGGTTGATAGATATGTTAATGTATTATACGTAGGTGGGGAAGAGGTTTGTTGATTGGTTGGTGAGTAGGTTTTCTCCGGGTACTCCGGTTTCCTCCCACATTCCAAAAACATGCATGGCAGGCTGAGTGAACACTCTAAATTGTCCCGAGGTGTGAGTGTGAACGCGGATGGGTGTTCGTCTATGTGTGCTCAAAGATTGGCTGGCAAGCGGTTCAGGGTGTCCCCCACTTACTGCCCGAAGACGGCTGGGATAGATATATACAGTAATCCCTCGTTTATCGCGGGGGTTACGTTCCAAAAAGAACCAGTGATAAGTGAAATCCGTGAAGTAGGATTTATAAAAAAAGCAAAAAAATGTGAGAGAGACGAAATTTAAAACAGCACGTTTGACAATAAAGTTGTACTTGGTACTTGATAGTCAGCTTTATTTTTTACAGTTATTACACAATACTGAACTATGTATATAATGCAGAGGCGATTGCTCTAAGACTGCAAGGGAAGCTCAGCTTCCCCTAAAATGTCAAAAAGTAAGTGACCAAATATATGTGTGTACGTACAATTGTGTGTACACGTCGTTGACTAAATATGCGCTACAACGCGCTCAACTTTTGTTCCGAATCAGCTTCTTATTACTGGTTACGACGCGACTCTCATTCATTCCTGCAGCTTTACTGTGCTTTAAACTGTGAACGCTGAGCGCTCAGAGCCCGTCGTCCCAATGCATTGAAACGAGACGAGTCATTGGATAAATGCTGGTTTTGTCCCGCCCATCGGACGCGCAGAGTCTCTGGGAGTCTATGGACAGTGGACGTTTGTCTGCATGATGATTGGATGATCTGTCTGAGGCTGAATCTCTTTTGATCGACAGTGAAATGAGCCAATCACCGATCTTATGGTGAAGGCAACCTTCTCATTTTTTTGAAAAGGAACGGCCAGTAGAATTCACGAATAAATAAACGGACACATTTTATGATGTAGGCCGAAATTGAGCTTCCCCTCCTTGACAGACCAGCATCTACCACTGATACAATGAAACCAAAGACCAAAAATTTACAAAGGTAAATTTGGCAAGCTGTACAGAGACGAGGTGCGGAGACTGTTCACGTCCGTCAGTGCCTTAGCCAATCAGGATGCAGAACGCAATTCACTGTTTAAACGCATTAAAAAAGCTGCACCAAAAAAAATCCGTGAAACAGCGAAGCCGCGGAAAGTGAACCGCGTTAGAGCGAGGGGTCACTGTATGTATGTGTGTGTGTGTGTGTGTGTGTG